ATAGGGTCCTAAAACTAAAAATTTCTACACGGACAAGAAAAAAAAAAGCTGTACCATGGGACTGCTACAGCAGACTGTGTAATTACACAAGGGGATGTAATAACTGCACTGTTTTTCACTTTCATTTGTCTCTGTCATTCTGCCCTTTGCCTGCTTCAAATTCTTGTTTTCACTCATGTGAGGGATCCAGGCCAGGAGCTTTAAGACAAGGCCGTCCATTCATCCACTAGTCAAGGTGCTCTTATTGCAAGACTGTCACTTAACGTCAGAACAGAAGCTGTTGAGACAATCACAACAGATGTGGAGCAGCAGATAGAAACCTATCACTGCTTTTAATATCAAAAGCAAAAGAACTATCTGCTTCCATCTGATAAACAGGTCAAAGAGTAATAAAACCACTAGGGTGTCATTTATCATAGCCCGGCTAACAATGACACCGTGGTTACTTTCTTCATAATATGTTGGTAAACTAACAAAGGCTAAAGTACAAAGGGCCTACGGGGCAAGCAAACCTGTCGCGCCACCTGATCTAGCCTTCCTGTGGGTGGTTTTCCTTCATGAGGCCCACTGCCGCTGACCTTTCCACAGTTTGCTGTTGCATGGAGCGCATCCACACTTAGCCTATTTTGTCAGTCCTACTCTACTAGCTGCAGAATAGGGTCAAGGGCAGCTTTCCTCCTCCACTGGCTATCCTCCATCTTTTTATCCCTTCGCCCCCCGTGAGAGAATCCATGAGCAAACAAGTAGAGCAATAAACTTTTCTGGGACAGTGTGCTTGGAGTGTGTTAGTGACACTGTGTGTGCAGTCCAAGAGTGGTAGCTAGATAGATAGATAATGACATCCCAATTAGTTGGATTTTATGACTAAGGTTACAGCATGCTTGACTGACAAACAGTATATATATATATTTTTTTTTTAAAGAGAAGGGGAATGGAAATTTTTAAATAAGGAAAATAAAGGATGAACGCTGCATGTTGAAGACTGCAATTGCAAGAGCAGTGCTGTGAAACAACACAATACACATGGACATCATATGTGTGTCACGGCTGAGTACACAGAGCTATTAATTAGAGATATGTACCCAGGGACTGCAAGACTCACACCAAACAGGACGTGATGTAATTTGGGTCACCAGTAATCTATTCTACATGTCTACTAACATCCTTAATAAAATGAAATGGCTGAAAATGAGAACACTTTAAAGAGGAACAGGTTGAGGTCATCCCTTTTCCCTGTAGAATAAATGACTATCTGAGGAATACCCTGTAGATTAAATTAGGATTGTTCTCATGCAAAAACAATGCCTAGTTAGAAACAAGACTGCTACTGTGTGTGTTTTCACAGAGCAGATTCTTAAGTAATTGAATTATAGACAGGCAAAAGCCACAGCCACCTGTCAGTAAAGACACAGCGCCACAGGTGGCTTTACACACCAACACATTAGCGGCGCACGTGTCGTGATCTCGCAGAGACAGGCTAAGCTACACATGAAGAGATCTACTCGGTTGCACACAAAGTCACACAGATCTCAAATGATTGTGAGTTAATTTTGCATGTGACTCAGTAAAGCCTTTGAAATTAAAGTGTGGAAAATACCATGTGCAGACAACATGTGAGCAAACTACACTATGGAAACATTTACAGTATGTTAACTGTGCAGGTTATGACCAGGGGGTACACTAACTGGCTCAGTGAGAGGAGAGCTGCAAGCATGTTGGCAACAAAAGCCAGAGGCCTTTGGCCCGTGGGTGTTAAACTGTAAGCTAGGTCAGTTTTTCAGCGTGGCACTCCAGTTATCTTCTCTTTCTCTCAGCACAAGCATGGTGCTAATTGTACCCGTGAAGCCAGACCATGTGCAGCCAATGTGCACATACAAAGTTCCATAACAAGCACTTAATGGCATGTCGGACACAGCAATCGGCTGTTTCTGCTTTCCATTCCCTGCTCTTCCCTTGTTTTTATAAAAGCAGCAAGCACTGCCCGTTTGTTATTGTTCATTCATATTTTATCAAGCCACTATTTATAACTATGTATGTTTGAGTTAGGGGCAATGTGAGAAGCGCAGTGACAGAGGAGAGGGAAATGATATGGTTTTTTTTGTTGTTTTTTTTGTTTTTGTTTTTTGGGGGGGGGGGGGGTTCTGTGGTTTTGTCGAACTCATGAACTCCAGAGGAGAGTTCATTCTTATTACAAAAAAAAAAACTAGTTACTTGAGGAATAACCACAAAAGATGAACTGTCCAAATGCAGAGGTACTCTGATGAGTATGCACAATCTTGTCCAGTAATGCTCTCTGCCTTTTAATTTTATGCAAACAGCTGAGGTGAATAGTGCAACGTCTGTCTTTTGCTGTTGGCATCTGAATAACTGTGACAGGTATTGGTCATGGGGTTTCCTATGGCACCGAGTCACAAGCTCACATTCGTTTTCTTGGAGGGCGGGTATTTTACAGCTTTAAACCATTTACCTTTAAGAATGAAAGTCAACTTCTCTAGCCTACAGGCGGATCCATTGTTTTTAAGGTCAATCTACACTAATCACACACTATTCATAGTAAAGACAATATATAGAAACACAAGTACAAACACAAGTTTGGCTGCAGATAGACTACTACAAATTTTCATCCTAACACTTGTTATTCATCAATACTCATGTATTAATCATTGCTAATGAAAATACAATACTTTACTCCACTGTGTGTGTGTGTGTGTGTAACTGGTCCTAGCTCAAAATGCTTGTGATTTGTATGTGTGCCATGGGTACGGAGGTATTGGTACTACAGATCACAACGCATTATCCCTTCATGAACTTCATCTCTGTGTTGTGCGCCTCAGTTCAAAGGTCAAACTGATCATTGTGTCTCATTGTGCAAATTATTTTATGAATACATATCACAGCCATCAAATTACTGTTTTTAGGGAGACTTGTCTTAAGTATGGGCAGTTTAGGAATGCTTACACATTTATTATTTTGAATGCAGCAACTGCAAAGGGAAATCAAAGCTGGTTAACACTGTTATCATTTTTTAACCACAACAACAGACTCACAGATCACTTGAGTTGTCTCTGTGGGGTACAAAAAATCAGATAAGTGTCTCCTTACAAACTAACGTGTATTTGCACATCCTAGTAAAATACCAGAAATCTTAAAATAACGTGTGACCCAAGCGTGAGTTCCATGTGTACCTGCATGAAATAATATGGAAAGACAAGGTAGCCACACCTAAACTGTTTGCCTACCTTTTTATTTGCACCACAACCTGCTTGCTATTCCGGGCAGACATAAAAGTCTATTATCTAATCTTGTGGTGTGTATCTGTATTGACTGTATCGACCTTAGAAGCCCAGAAGGCATGCATATATATATATATATATATATATATATGAAATATTTTATGTTTAAAAGAGTACTGGTAGCTGTTTCTTCTTCCAACTGGAGGTCAAACAGCTCCCACATTGTCATCTACTGTATAGTAATAACGCATCCTGGTCAACTGTAATGCTAGCCCTATTAGCATTTTGTCATCCTCTAACTGACCGATAGCAGGGCATGTGTACATCCGCGAAGCAACACCGGAGGAGCTCCGGTGACATCCTTCCAGGCCTTTCCTTGGCGTTACAGCTACATAAACGCGGGGTTAGTGATGAATATGTTTACCCTGAGTTCGTCTCTCTCAGCCTCCCAGCGGTATTTCTCGGCCTGGAAGCGTCCCCACTCGTACTGGATGAAGTGCAGGATCCCAGGAAGCGTCATCCCCGACTCCCCGTCCTGCGGCTCCCGTGACTGCTGCAACGGTCCGGGGACGGCCCCGGCGGCTGCTGCTGCGGCCGCTGCCATTGCCCCGGTCCCACCAGCTGATGTCGCCTGGCCCGGTCCTGCTTTAGGCCCGTTTGGGTTGCGCCCCGCTCCACTGCTGCCGCCGCCGCCGCCTCCGGAGTTCGGGTTAGATCCTCCGCCGGTTCTGTCCGCCTCCATTTTAACTGTTCAACCTTTCGCCAGGATAATGAGATGGGAACGGGCAGAATGGACGAATATAAATATAAAAAAGTACCCCGTGCCCTTTTCCAAACCCAGCTCCACTTCACTATAAGCTACCCTCCTTTCTTCCTTTCTCACACGCACGGAGAAAAATTACTATTCTGTTGGTAAAATAATACACTTCCGCTTTCAAGCCTTCAGCGCAAAACACAATCTAACCGCAGTTAGACCCATCGTGGCCCCATTGATTTCGTAACAAATCCCTTTTCACAAAACGTCTTACGTGCAGTCTTAAAACTAACATCAAAATAAAGTAACACCAGACAGCGCTTATTAAATGTAATGCACCTGAAAATAAACGTTAACTTTTTTTGTTTTTTTTGCTGCTCTTATTTTGTATATCCCGGATCCCAGATCAGTTTCCTCCTCGTGAAATGCCCAGTGCGGGTGACAAATAAAGGGCCATGTTTTCTATAATAGACAATGAACATGTCGCTAGGGGAATGAATTTCCTGCCATTTTGTGAGCAGGAATGGTTTCGGGAACGAAAAAGTTAGCTGCAGTGATCAACAATGCTATTTCCGGTCGAGATTTTAATCTTTGATTTTTATTTTTTTATTTTTGGAAAATAAATTGTGAAACGAAGACAGCCATAGCCAAAAACAGCAATAAAAAAGCCTTTAGGACACATTTGTAATATATAACATGTTAACGTGAATTATATTTTTTCTCCATATCATCTTTATATTTATATTGTTTTGTATTGCTTATATCCTTATAACTTCTGCAATAACATTTGCAGTTATATCTCATATTTTATATTATAGTAATATGTTTTTCTTATTTTAAAACGTAAGAGATTAGGTATAGACGCCAGGTAACTGGGATAACTCTGAAGCGGTTATTGCGTAAAATGTGTGCCTTTTATTAAATAGATTCATAGATTGGTCCAGATTTGGACACTCCCTACAATAGCTTTATTCTGAAGGATTTCAACCGGAAGTTGTCCTGTTGCTGCGGGCAACAATGCGATAGCTTAATGCTAAATTCGTGCAGCTGGGTTTCTTGTTTGGGATAGTGTTAAGCCTTGCGCTTTTGATATATTCTTTTGATCGTTAAGTGTGAGTTTCATCCAAAAAATATAGGAGACTATTTCTTCCACAGCCGTACAAATATGAGCTAAACTCAAGTTAATATCTGTGTTTGCTGCTGCCGATTCAACCTCGGTAGCTACTACGCTACCAGCTCAAAAAGATCATCATGAAATCCACATATAGCGAGCATAACGGGCATAATTGGCTTAACGTTGGTCAAGCCTCTTTTAACTTCTGAATGATATGATGGCCCTGCAAACGATTGTCTTATATGAAATAAAACAGATACATTCAGATGAAGGTGAGTTGCTACTATCCCATTTTCATTCATTTCTAATGCAACTAGCAACATTTTATTTATAAAAGAAAACCTGTCATTGGGCAATCATGTCCTAGTTCCACAAGAATGTGATTATGACTTGGGTCATTCACTGACTACTTTGTTTAAATTAAATTGTGCAAATTGTGATGTACATATGCAGATCAATACATTATATTTATACGTAAGCCTGTGGTATTGGAACCAAAACACAACATTTTTCTGTCATTTACAGGTTGTATGCGACTCTCTGTTACACTGATGGGGGTCCGAGACCAGCCACTGGATTTCTTGATTCAAACTTAAGTTATTCTCCTGAAATAAACTGCAAAGGAAATATTAGTTGCCATGCGGATCAGTTTCTGTCAGGGCTTGTTAACTATCGCCATCATCCTCAACCTCCTCATTCTCTATTATGTGTCCCGAGCCCAGCAGCAAATGATGGAGAAGAGGAAAGAACTTGGCAGGGGCACCAGAAGGGCTGCCCTACCAGCCTCTGGTCTCGGAGGGTTACTTGCAGGAGCTGGAGGTGAGCCTGGAGTGGTTGGAGTGGAGGGACACAGTCGAGGCCCACGTGTAACTGTTCTACTTCGGGAATTTGAACATTTTGAAAACTATGTTGGGGATGTGGCTAATTCCTTCCTTCACCAGAGGCCAGAGCTTCCCTTCCTGGCTGTAGCTGACACATCACCGTACCCTCCACTGGTGCTTCCGGAGGGTGCTCGGCTTCTTATCCTCTCCCCCAGCCCAGACCAACCACCACAAGCTCACAGGCCTGAGTTTCATGTGCAAACAGAGTTTGTGCTGCTAGTGCCTGATGGAGTGGAGCTGGAGCAACCAAGGGCTATTGAGAGGTTAATTAGAGAGTTGGAAGGAGAGGGTGGAGGGCCTGTGAGGTTAGTAGCTGCACCCGTATTGGCTCGATCTGCTGTGCAGTGTCTCCACTTGCGGGTGAACCTCAGAGAGTGGACAGCTATCTATTCAACAGCTGCATCAGGGAGCAGTGGGAGTGTATGTACAGCTTTACAGGGAGATGCAGTCGTACTCATTCGGACTGAGGATCTTTTTAACCTCTCTGTCCCTCTTGGACAGCCTCTCTTCTCTTCACTCTTCATCCAGACTTCTTTGAGAGGCTGGAAGGTCAAACTCCTGGAAGGCCCCTGTTTCTCTGCAAACCATCGGCCTCTCTTCAGCTCTGCTCACAACCAGTGGAAGGCTGACACTCGACTGAAGGAGGCCACGGGGAAGCTAATGAGGAGCTTCGGTCTGAAGCGTCTTCTGCTGCCTGATGGGAGGGAACAGTGGTACGGCTGCAGCAAAGAGACACCACGCTGCTTTGGCACTGTGCAGGATGACACTCCAGACTATCTTTATCTGGACCGCTGGACACCTCCCTGCTGTCTGCGAGCGCTCAGGGAAACCATCAAGTATGTCGTCAATATCTTGGAGCGCTCAGGTGTGCGCTACTGGCTAGAGGGAGGTACTCTGTTGGGCGCCGTTCGCCATCAAGATATCATCCCATGGGACTATGATGTAGACCTTGGTATCTATCTGGAGGATGTACCCAACTGCGATCATTTAAAGAACCTGGACTCAGGCTCTCTGGTGGATGCTAATGGCTACGTGTGGGAGCGTGCGGTGGAAGGAGACTTTTACAGGGTCCAGTACAGTGAGGCTAACCACTTGCACGTTGACCTGTGGCCGTTCTATCCACGTAATGGCGTCATGACCAAAGATACGTGGACTGAACATAAACAAGATGTCGAGTTCCCAGAACACTTCCTGCAGCCACTGGTACCCATGCCTTTTGCTGGCATCACTGCCTATGGCCCTAACAACCACAGAGCCTTTTTGGAACTTAAATTTGGAGAGGGGGCGATTGAGAACCCCCAGTATCCCAACCCTGCAAAAAAGAGACTGGACAGAAGCAAATTATGAGTCATAGCGGAGGGCTACAGACCCATTTAGGTTTACCTACATACAAAGAAAATCTTGCCTCAAATAATTGTCTGTGAAAGATAATGCCTGGAAAGTAAAGCCTTTTACACACATGCACTGCAGCCCTGAATGCTTCGAGACATTACCAAACTGAGAATCACATGAGAGCACAAATGTCCGACACAGTCTTATCTGACCATAAATGGTCGAGTACCTCTTGTCTGTGTGACATCCACATCTAATCATCTCAACATTTTCTGGAGTTCATGTGTAAAAAAAGATTTAATATGGTGCCAAAACGACTGCATTTACTGTTACCTTCACCACATGTGTATCAGAAGACTGTATTGCATGCTTAGATTGTTCTTCCTGTGGTTCGGATGTAAAGTCTAATGTTGAACACACGTTATTTATTTGCCTGAGCGGTAGCATTTTGTTTGAAAGACACACTTGAAAAGTTTAAATCCATACACTAGTGTACTGACATAAGGCTGTGGTGTGTATGTGTTGTACAGAAACATTGAACTACTACTGCTGTAATTTAAAAAAAAAAGATAGATAATTGAAAAAAAACAAATGATTTTTTTAAAACTAAAATGTATTTTATCTTAAGCAGGATTTAAGGTATTATACAGACTTATGTGTGTTAAATAAGTGGCTTTAGCCTAACAGGTATTTTATGATTTTTGAACTCTGTTGCCTTGTTTTGCACGTCTCAGTTTATGAGTGAATGTTAGTTTGTGGTAGAGCCAGCTGGTAACTGCAGCTGAGCAGACTTCCATCTAATGAAATGAGAAATGAAAGCAAACCTGTGTTATTCATGCTGTTATGGACGATTGCTCTACCAGGCCTTAGAATTCAAGTAAATAATTACATATTTATAAATATTATGAAAAGGAAATTTAATTCAGTATACTACTCAGTTCCCCTGGTTGCCACATGATTCCTGTAGTTTTTCCTGTATCTAATGTACGAGGGTGTCAAATCATTTCATGTACTTCTACAATAAAAGAATAACAGTTTCATGTATTTTGTAAATAGCTGTTGCCACTAGATGGCGCAACACAACTAATTAACGCCAAGTGCTGTTGTTGTGACGACCAAAGGGGTGGAGTGTTTCACAAGAGGCAGGAATGCAACTCTACAGGAACACGGCTCACGTGTTCATCACAAACCCAAAGTGTGATGCAAACTAGCATTACAACCAAGCCTCTCCCATGTTGTTGCTCTACATATTGTATCCCTAGAGGTGTGTTTATATTGTTTTTTTTTTTCCTTCTAGTATTCATATATGGCCTGGTTAATGTGCCCAGGCTTATGTATCAGTGGGAGGCTGCATTATTTTACAGTCTCTCAACATAAAGACAAAGTATTTTGTGTCTTTTCTGATTTGTATTACTGTGTGCTTCTGATTAGTCTCTGCAGTAAGAGTTAAAAACAGGGTTTGTCCACAAAAAGCCACATTCTCTTATTTATATATATATATATAAAAAAACCATTTATTGCTGAAAGGTTGCTGACAGTACATTCAGACAATAAGTTATTTTACAACCATAGCCCACTTTAAACAAACAAAACCATGATCAAGCCACATAATGGACGAGTTCAGGAAGTAATCTTGCACCACAAAAGGAACAGAAAAAAATAAAGAATTTTCTTATGACATAAGAAATGCTAAGACCTCAAGCTTGCAGTTAAATGATTGTCATGTGAAATTCTGCAAAGCTAATGTAATGAGAAGGCTAAGAAAGCGGGCTTAAAAAATATCTGGTTTTGGATTTAACAGTATTAGCCCTACTCATGTCTATATAAGATATTGATTAACAATTGATATGGATGCAAAAGATATTGTGCTATATTACTTTCATCCATTTAAAAAGTGTCTGGGTACTTCAATAGCCAAGCGTTTATTAGGGAAGAGGTTCAGTTCCCGGCCAGCCGGACTTGCATTGTTCTCTTGGATACATCGCCATACCCAAACCCCAGACAGTATCTCTTTAGTATCTATGATCTAACAACTTCTCTCCAGAGCCTTAAGTCTTCCCCACTGATATAAACTTTTTTTTTTCTTTTTTTTTAAAAGAAGCATCTCATAAAATATATTTAAAACTGTAGCTCACACCAAATAGAGTGTGATAAATAAAAATACCCAAATCCAACAAGTTGCTAAGAGTTGAATCTGGAAAAAGAAAGCTTGGAATTACTAGCATTTACAAAGTTAAATACTACAAATGTCTTTGGAGCTTAAAGAAATAAATTTACAAATGCCTACCAGAAATTCTTGGTTGGGTGGAGGCCACCCAGCTATTACTCCACGTTTACGCCCATGATAGCCAAGACAGATTATGAGATTCTCCCTTTACCAAAGTTATTTAGGTGTGTACACCTCTCATTCTCATAAAATAGAGACATCCTTGTAGTGTAAGGAAGTTAGTTGCTCATATATGACATATAACATCAAACAGTCACTGTTGCATAGTGTGTGTTAAACCACTTGTACCTGCACAAGAGCAAAGCAAACCAAAGAGTGTGACTAGAATTTTGTTGCAGAGTCTATTTAACTTTTGGTCCTGGAGTATTTTAAGGAGCACGCAGAGGAAAGTCTTGTAGCCAAAGTCAAAACCTGAGGATGTGTTGGTGATCGCAGCATTTCTCCACATGCGCCCATTTTATTCCATATTGCACGTCCATGAGCAAAGAGGCCTTCATTCAACTTTGGGTGATTACTGAGGACGTGTTTTCATTTGGTGTGTTTCAGAAGACGAACTGAGGCTCTAGGACAGATTTATTGCCGTTTCATCCCCTCACGGTGAGACAGATCATTTCACATAATAACCGTAAACACACTAAAAGACTAACTGATGCTTCCACCAAAACAAATTAAAAAAATATATATATATAAATAAAAACAAAACAAACAAACAAACAAACAAACAAACAAAAAAAAAAAAAAACAACCTACTTCCATGCAGAGTATAAAGAATGCACTTAAACTCAAATACGAAGTACTTGCAGTTTAAAACATCACTGAATGAATTCTGCATGAAAGTAGCCAAAACATGTTTAAAGTTGACAACTTCCAATAATTACACAGTGGGTGCAGTGAACAGTATGGAGGTCCTCTACTTATAAAGTCAGAGGCTTTTTCCGTTGTCCCGTGGAGTGTTTGCCGGTAATTTGCTAAGACGCAGATTCAATAATACAAATTAAATGGGGCAAAACTTTAGTGACAGACCAGTGCATTCATGTAACTTAAGCTCCGCCATTATATTATATATTTAACATGCCTATTATGTCTTGAAGTTCATTGGTCCAGCTTTTGTGGGTGGATGCACTGGTCACATGACAAACTTACTCACCAATCAGATTTTTTACTCACTAGTAAAGAATCTACACACGATAACAATTTCTGACACAAGAGCTGATGAGGACCAATCGAGTGCAACATCAGACTGGAGTTAAAGCAGCCAGTCTAGTGTACAATACAGTCTCACCCACAACAAAAAAAAAATCTTGAAAAGGTCACTAAATGCGCCCCATGTGAGTTTTCAGCTACCCCTCCAGAAAAGTGTTGAAGTCAGAGACATTGTCCAGTCTCTCTCTATACTCTTTTCTTCAGAGCAGACAACAAAAATGAGGGGCTTGATGCTCAGTTTTCTTTCCCCCCCCCCACAATATCAAACGAGTATCAGAACTGAGCCAGGAGTCCTTGAAAATGTCAACAGTCGCATTACATACTTGACTCTTTCTCACCAGACCCTGATTTCTGAGCATCGCTTCGTTTACTAATGAGCGGCGAGCTATCGGGGGCGGCCTCCAGCCGGACCTCGCTCAGCTCTGCTCCGTTTCGTTTGGCATCTCTGTCCACAAAGAACTGCAAGATCCCCGCGCCGAAAGCGTCACCCTCCACATTGAGCACCGTGCAGGTACGATCACTGAAGGAAGACAAAACAGATGGCATGCCATTTTAATGTCAGGGTATTTACAGCCAGCTGTGTGCCCTACATTATTGTAAATCCAGGGCATCACGGTAAACATCGTCCAAAGTTTGTATACTCACACAAGCCAGTCAACAGCCAGGATAAGAGAGATGTCGGTGGTGGGGAGTCCTACTGCCTCCAGGATAATAGCTAAAGTCAGAACACCGCCTGCAGGAATTCCCGCTGCTCCAACACTGGATGCTGTAGCTGTAACACTAAAGTACAAAAAGCATGGACAGTAGCAGTTAGACACAAATCTAATGTCATGATTATAAAAGACACTGTGAAATCACCTATATTATTAGGTAACTGTTTGATAAGTAAGCCAGTGGTACAATTGATTTAGCATTACATGTCACTGTCTAACTGAAGGTGTGTTTTGGTGGCTTTGGGACTTACAGGATGGTAATGACTTGGATGAAGTTAAGGGAAATGCTGTTCAGCTGTGCAATGAAAACTGCGGCCACGCACTGAAAGAGAGCCGCACCGTCCATGTTGACCGTCGCTCCAATGGGCAGGATGAAGCGGCTGATGTGCTTGGATACGCCGTTCTTTTCCTCCACGCACTTCATCATGAGAGGCAGCGTGGCAGAGCTAAGAAGTAAGAAACGATGGCCGTGAGCGTGCAGAAAAGATGTATAGATACATTGTTGCTTTAAAAGAGAGAAATCTAAGTCATTCAGTATTTAACAACCTGAGAGTCGCGTTTATTACCTGGAGCTTGTTCCAAAGGCTGTGGCTAGAGCCGTGAATATCCCCCAGAGGAAGGTGTAAGGGTTCTTCCTTGTAATGATAAAGTAGATGCCTGGCAACACAAGTGCTCCATGGATAGCATGTCCAATGAGGCAGCAGGCTATATATTTTCCCAAACTGGCAAACAGGCTTGCAACATCTTCCATTTCCACAATCTTCCCAGCTACAAGGAACATGATACCGATTGGGGCATACCTGCAAGGGACGAGACGAGACAGTGATGTAGTTTAAGTTTCTGATACAGAGCACTTCTGGATAAAAGCACACTTAAAGATTTAAAAAAAAAAAAAAAAAAAAAAACCACACACAATATTCCTCTCATATCTGTCCATTAAATACAACTCCAGCCAGAAATGTAGCAAAACGTTTTTTAATATTTTGTCTTGGTGTACTGCATCCATAAAAATAATTAGCAAAGATATTGTTGAGTGCTCTAATGTTAGGAGAGACGGGGATCTTGTCGACACTGCGAATCAAGCTTTTAATAAAGCCATAATGTTATGCAACTGCACATGCATGGTAGTTGCAGGATGCAGACGCTTCTATTCATTCAAATAGCAGGTTCAAAACAGCAGCGTGGTCCTCTTTAAAAAACACTTTGCTGTAGTTGAATATTTTGCTCTTCACACATGAACATTTTCTGTTCTTTTATTCCTTCCCCAACCCAAAAGGCATCCAGGTGTCCTTACCACATGATCCAGGACACCAGCACCATGGTGGCCTCGTTGAAGGCGTTAAAGAACTTGATCAGGATCTCTCCTTCCTCTCCCAGCTTCCGCAAAGCCACCCCAAACACGATGGCAAACACTACGAGACCAAGAATATTCATGCCATCCTGGTCTGTTCCAAAAGGCACCTGAAAAGCACACATGTTAAAAACAAAAAAACGAGTAAGAAAACACATTTATTCCGCCCTCGGTTTAAGAATACAGTCAGGAAGTTTTGGAGTGTATTTATAGTTCATTTTCCAGCCAGTCACTCTGCTCACATTCTCCACCGTGATATTGGTGATTCCATCTGTGCCATTCTTTTTCATCAGCTTATAGGAGGTCGCATACTGTACAGGAGGCAAGAAATTGCTAGTTTAGTAGACTAATTAGGACATAATCAGCTTATCGTCATAGTTCTGTTACACAATTCAGTGGAATGACTAAGTATAAAATAATTTAAAAAAATTAAAAAACCAAAAAATTCAAATCAAATACTTACAGACTGAAAAGCAGCAGACACAAGGTTGGAGGGAAAGATGTTTCTGTGGATAAAAACAAAAATACAACACATTCAAATCC